GGCGCATGAAAGATCGAAGAAGATACCGGATACATATTGTCTAGAGTCAATACCTTTATAGACATGACCCATGAAATCGCACACGGCATCCTCTGTCGACCTTCCCGCACGAAACCCATATTGGGCAGAAGAAAGAACTCTGTTCTTGTCCAAAAAATTGACCGGCAGCAGAAGGTTGCTTGTCTCAATGAGGATCTGTAAGTGATTTCGAATTGGGGTAAGAGTAACTGGGTTCAATTCAATGCCGCAAAATCCCAGCCATCGGTTTTCTCCAAAAAGATANACAATAATAAGATTATATATCTTGTAAAAAATATATAAATATGGAGAACTTACTAACGTGAGAATAAAATATAAAATGGTTCAAAAACAGATAGAAAAACATTAATAAATGACAGTTAATAAAAATTTTGGCTATATTTTTATATAATCATGATTATTTGATGAGTCAATAATAATATGGAGAATTGGAAAACCAAGAACTTTCTTATCCAAACATTTTTATATTTACAAAAAAAATTAATAATTCGTTTCCATTATCAATATTTATAATTGTAATTTATCTAGGTAAATAATTCTTCTCAAAGGTGAAAATACATGTAATGGAAATAGTTCTTCAACATTAGAATAAATACGAGGCAAGGGCGGTTCAAGTTCTAAATTTGGGAAGGGGTAATTTCTGAATTCTGGAAGAGGGGTTATTTTTAGTGGAATAATTTATATATGTGCGTGTTACTCATTTGAAATGTATTGAATGTTCAAAACAAACCCTGTTCCCAAACGCCAAAAGTATGACACTCTTTTCGACGCGCTTTTCACCAACTAAGTTGGCATTTTCGGAAGATGCAGTACCCTTATTCCTAATCATAATGTTTTTTATTATTTATTCAAGATGCGTTTCGCTACATGATGGCTTCATCGGTTAGACTAATTCCTAACTCTAAAACTGGTCTCTATCTATATCTAACAAAGTACACTTTCACTTCGGGAATAATTTTTCGTGAAAGCTCCCATCAATAACACCAGAGCTATTCATATGAAGGTGAACAATGGGCTGTTCAAAATAGGACCTTAATAACTGTTTATAGTTCTCGTACCAAACTTTACTATTTTCAGGCTTCCGAAAGTACTCCAAAATCTGATGTTATGTACAGATTTCAACGATTTCAGGTTATCAATCTGAAAGCAGACGCAGGCAATGAGGTTGTGATATTGAACAAGTTATGAGAGAATTGATAATTCAATTGAGAACGGTCCCTGAAACAAATTAACAAGGAACCTATTGCCTAAAATGGTTTCAGAAATAATAAACACACCCAAGAAGTATTGAACTTTGATCGCACGGCTTTGAACAGGAGTCTACAGGTTTGTGATGGTACAGTTCCTAAAATATTCGGTCTATCAAAAATGCACAAATCTGGCAAGTCGGTGAGACGAATTTTCTCAGCCATAAGTGTCTTTACTTAGAAAAATACCAAATTCAGACAGTTTGAAACTCTCTAAATCTCAGTTGAAGTTTTGTTAATTTACATGAATTTATAGATAAAATCAAGGATGTGAAGTTGCGAGGTGGAAAGATTTTAGTATCACTTCAGACCTTTTACCAAAAACTTTTGTTTATTTGAGGAACCTTCAGAGGGTCAATGGTTTCATTCGGAAAGTAGTCGAAAATTACAGACAACTAACGAACATCTGCATGGAACAGAATTGCTTTCAGTTCAACAACTGTTTATTTTGTTCCTACAAACATCACGGAAATGGCTAATCTGTTTGTGAGCAGATTAGCCAGAAGAAGTTAGATCACTTTCCACGGACTTGGATCCGATATGTATATTATTTATTTGTAATTTTTGATACGAAACAATGTAAAATAGATGACTTGGCTTCATTTCTCAACAACAGATGCCCGAACAATAAGTTTACATATGAAATTATAAACAAGGAGTTACCATTTATGGATGTATTAGTTATCAGAAGTAACGGTGGGTGGATTTAGATCCTAATTTCGAAGGAGGGGGGTAGTTCCTGAATTTCGCAAGAGTATTTTTAGGGGGAATATTTTATGTCGTAAGCATCTTCAAGAGATGAGATTCATCAATTTCTAACTATGAAACTAGTTTCGAATTATAACTAACAGGGTACACTTTCACTTTCAGACATACATCAGCTATTTCAGGTAGAAAAAGAAAGAGAAAAATGTTATCAAATTATTTGAAGAGAAATATATTTTATGTCTGAAAGAAAACAAAGGCAATAAGGTTGTGATATTGAACAAAACAGCTAACTACGAGAGAATGTATAATTCAATTGAGAACGGTCCCTATAAGAAACCAATTTCCCAAGATGGTTTCAGAAGTGAAAAATCTCACTCAAGAAGTGTTAAAATTTGATCGCACCGGCTTTGAACAGGAGTCCACAGGCTTCTAATCCTACACTTTACAAAATATGCGGTATAACAAACAGTTTGAAACTCTTTCAATCTCACAATTGTTTTTGAGTTTTGTTATTTCACATGAATCCATAGATGAAATTAAAGATGAGAAGTCTATAAGAAGAATATTTTAAGATATTCCTGATAACTTATATCGTTGTTCCCAATACAAAATGGCAGAACTAACCTTTCTTGTCCATAGACTTGTTACATTCCCTTTGAGTAAACAACAATACTATATTGAGAAAAATGTTATGAGGGATGTAACTGAAAGTATTTTTTCAATAAAGTAGTTAATTAGGAAACGGAAATTTACATAGAATCTTAGTAAAATTTTCGACTTCTTAAAAAGAGATTAATTCAATGTTCATTGGTTTCTTGGTTCATTGTTGAACCAAGAAACACTAACAGATTAGATCGAATTTTCGAAAAGTTGAAAAAAAAGTTGCCTTCAAACCTTTTTGTTCAACACTCTAACAAATGTCAGGTTACCCTAAAAATGTTGAAAAATCCAAAAACGCGTTTGTATGAAAAAAGCTGTTAGAACTGTGACAAAAAATATATCGGTCAAACTAAAGAACTATCAAAATTCGTTTCAAAGAACACGTAGCACATATAAGTATAATTTATTTTGGAGACCAGAAAATACATACAGTGTCGCTCAAAACGCCTTGAAGGGCGGCCATATGATGAATGAAAACTGTCTGAAATTGTAGATCGGTACATGACACTGAATAGAGACCCGTTTCAAGTTGAGGAATTAGTGAACTTTATCTCCTGAAGACGCCAACTTCGATGGTGAAGCACGTTCGAGAAGAGTTCTGCAGTTCTAGTGTTTAGGGAACATCACTGAAGCAAATGTTGAAAACAAAATTTGGGTTTTCCACCGCTCATTCACTAACCAATTCGCAAAATTGCAAGCGTCCATCGAAATCATTTCCATTCAGTTCTTGCGTTAATTTGTGGGTTTTTAAAATACGCCGTGTGCTAGTTCGTGACACTCCGGAAACAAATGCTAACTTTCTTGTGCTCAAAGTATGATCAAGCTCAACATGGCCCAGAATTGCCACTTGTGTCGCCTCATTCGTTAGTGGTGGTTCGATTTGGCGTTTTTTATTTGCTACAGATCCAGTTGCGCGAATTTTTGCAATTAAATCGAAAACATACTGTCGCGACACATTCTTCCCATGTTGTTGATTGAACAGTTCAGAGGGTCTCGCAGCACAACGTCTATTTCCATAGTACAGTTTAATCAACTCAACCCTCTCTGTAGTTGTGGAAACCATCGTTTCTTTAGCAACACTTTACGGCACTCACTACTAGTGATAATGTAGATATCACTTTTAACATAAAAATGAGAAATAGAAACAGCATTTTTAACCATTTCTCAATTGTAATAGTCCTCTTATCAGAGAAGAACTAAAAAATTAACAAAAATTCCAAATACATTCCAACTGAGTCGTGGCGTACAACAATTTGTTGCTATTAACAATATTGAAAAAGCTAATTATCGGAAAGAACTCTTTTAAATACGTCCAAATTAAAATAAAATGAGAAATAGAAACAGCATTTTTAACCATTTCTCAATTGTAATAGTCCTCTTATCAGAAAAGAACTAAAAAATTAACAAAAAAGTAGCGTAAGAAACAAATGAAAGAGTTCCAAATATATTCCAACTGAGCAGTGGCGTACAATAATTAGTTGCTATTAACAATATTGAAAAAGTTAATTATCGGAAAGAACTCTTTCAAATACGTCCAAATTTAAAAAATTTACACCATTGTTTAGAGAATTCCAAGATCTTTCAAACGATGTGCGACTCGATCCCTATTCCCTATTAAAATTCCAAGGGTTGTTCACCACTCTGTTCCGGGGTTGAAGTGACGACGCTGTAAATCGGGAAAAACTGTCCCCCTCCCAATAAAAAACGACCTGTCTGAGCGTTTTTTCGGATTTGCAAGTATCCAAAACCTCCATGTCAAGTTTTCGATGGCCCACCCTGTATATTTTTGATTCGATATTTATCCATTTTGTTGAAACGTTCTTTTTAAATTTAAGTAAGAATTTCAGTTTCGCCATGTCTATTGGAATCACTATCAGTTTTTATTGGTACGATTGGAAAATAATTGAAGGATTAACAAAAATAAATAATAAAATTATAGAATGGTGAGAAAATTTGAACACGGCTACAAAGAATTCTCTAAGCAGTGAATGGAAAAATATTAAATATCTGAATATGCTTTTGAGTTTCTAGGAAACACTTCATACGCCCGATAAAAATAAAATATATATCAAATATATTACCTTGCAACAGATCGCAAAATTTAATATCTCTTTCTTGGCGACAAGTAATGCCATAACTTTACATAAACTTCGTTCAATCTTGATATCATTCCCCACTTAAAAGTTATGGAAATAGATCAACTTTGTTGTATCTCATCAGTGATATTATTTCGAAATCTGACAAGTAGAAGGATGAAACTCTTCTAAGCGTCAATATTGCTAAAAAACTTATTCTCTGGCAAATTCTATTTATTTCAGTTGATTATAGTTTCATTCAATTTTTCAGTAAATGGCGGTATTTTAGTCCAAAATGCCCCTTCCTGTCCAGAGCAGCACGGAGTTCAAGCTTACGCTCATCCGGAATCCTGTAATCTTTTTTTCCTGTGCACCAATGGTACTCTCACCGTAGAAACTTGCGAAAACGGTTTGCTGTTCGACGGTAAAGGAAATGTTCACAATCATTGTAATTACAACTGGGCCGTAGATTGTGGACACAGAAAAGCTGATCGTAAGTAATGTGAGATATAAGAATGTTGTGGTGTAAATCTTCATGCTCTGATTGTTTCAATGGTCGCCACTATGGAGAATGTGAAATTGATTCATGGAGTTTCAAAAACTCGTTAAATTCTACGAGATTGCGAGTGTTTAAATTATAACTTTCCTTGTGCAAATTCATATCCCATGATATGTACAATATGACATGAAAATTCCTTCACTGAATAATGCAAATTTATAATCTTTATTTGAAAAATAATGGATTATTACGAATTATCTGAAATAGAGTTTCATATGATTCCTCTAGCTCTAGAGGAATAATACAATTTTTAGTGAATATCAGTTATAAATATTTTATATTGAACGACAACCAGTTTTCATATTAAATTATTTTATTTTATTATAGTATTACATTAAACTTCATCAATCACTAAACGTTGCTAAGATTAATACAACTTTCTTGTTCACATAGTGTTTCAGCTTTAAGAGATTATAAATTTTCATTCGTATTTCACTCATTTGAAAAATCATTCGTACAAATTCAAATTCGAAATCAGACAGATTTTCTTCAATAGTTGCACCTCCCAACATTAATATTCGTTGAAATCGCCAAATGATCTTGAAAGTTTATTGAGTCATCTCTTGAAGTGATATGCTGTTAATGGGATTTTATCAATATTGATTGTGATTGTGATTGTGACTTTCATCTGATATTTGAATTGTGTAAATAGTTGGAAACTTTCAATTGTTGAATTAAGTTTAGTTTCTTTAACTCATTCGAAGAAAACTATGGAACCATTTGATAATTATTATTAGCTAGATATCACTAAACGATAGTTATTAAAACTTTCAGTGAAAATCATTAGTTATATAGAAATTTACAAGATTGGTTGAATGGACCGAAAGTTGCCGTTTTGAAGATGCAACAGATTGATATTCTCAGCGATTCGATTTTTATCTCGTCAGTCTTCGCAAAACGCTGTTCTTTCATGGGTATCTTCAATATTGGAAACAGGAAAAAGTCACAGGGGGGCAAATCTGGTTAATATGTTGGCTGAAGCATGATTACGGTGTTGTTTTTGGCCAAAAAATTACGAACAAGCAATGATGAGTGAGCACGTGCATCATCTTGATTCGGAAGCCATGAAATTTTTTTCCATATTACCGGAGATTTTCTTCGTATTGCTTCTCGCAAACGGCACATAACTTCAAGATAATACTCTCCTTATTGAACGAACGACCATGTAGCAGAAACATTTGATGCACTACGCCACGGTAATCGAAGAAAACTGAGCAAAACTTCGACATTTGTTTGAACTTGGCGTACTGTTATTTGGACTTTGATTTCGATCTCATAACCATATACCCATAATTCGTCACCAATAATGACCATTTTGAGCAAATTTGAATCGCCGTTGGCGTCATTTTACTATTCATGAGCGATGCTCATGCGACGGTTTTTTTTGTCAAAATTCAGCAATTTTTGAATTAACTTCGCTCCCACAAGCTTCATGTCCAAAATTTCCAAATTTCCAATAGTTATTTGATGATTCTCCATAACAATTTTCTTCACCACTTTCTCAACATTTTCATCGGTTGTTGATGTACTGGGGGGTCCAGAGTGAACGTCGTCATTCACATCTTCTCGACTCAATGTGAAAAGCTTGTGAATAATTTTCTGATTCAGAGTACAATCACCGTATGCTATTGTCAAGATTTCAATTGTTTTTGAGCACTTAAATATTTCTTCGGTCTATTTTTTTGATAGCATAAAATCTCCAAATACCCAAAACACTGTCCACATTGCAAGTGTTTTTGAATTTTTTGAATTCTCGATAGAAGAAAATCGCCGAACACGCAAAACACTTTCAACTTTTATGACTTTTATGACTAAACATGCTAAACAGCTGAGAAGAGTATACCAACATAAAAGAAAAAAATAGGTTATCTTTTCAACAGTCCCCGTATATCCTTTGAGAAATGGTGTTATTTATTGTTATCCTAAACTGATCTCAATCCTTTCTTAGTGACTCCAATCAGCAGCCCAGGATGTGAATACCAATTCGGAATCTACCCTGACGGTACAGAATGCTCTGTACACTTCCTCAAATGTGAATATGGTCAACCAATTCCCAACCAGTGCGAACCAGGATTGGTTTATGATGAACGAATCCATGGCTGCAACTGGCCAGATTTACTTCTCGAAAAATGTAACCCGGAAGGTATGATATAATCACATAAATACAAATCATGTAGAGAACGAATTGAATTAATATAGTTTAAAAAACTGAAAAACACGCTTTTAAAGAATATCGAACTAAAAAGTTGAAAATATTTTTTTGAATAAGCTTGAAACAATAACGAACTAAAAATACTAGTACCTATTATTGTGAAGAAAGCGTGGGCGCTTTGTGCCAAATTTTTTGTATATCAAGCAACATTCTCAACTTTCTGGTTTGATGTTTTTTAAAAGCGTGTTTTTTAGTTTTTTAAACTATATTTATTTCTCATTTTTTAGTTTTATTTATTTATATTTCATATATTTTTTTTATCTAAACTTTGGGATCAATCAGCCGTATATTGTTTAGGAAAATGACCATTGATATCATCCGATACCAAGCCCAAGGCAGCAGGCGCACAAAGGAGGGTTACAAATAAGGCAGCAGGCGCGTGTGTTGATAAAAAAAAATACTTTTTTCAAATGAAGAAATACATGTAAAGTGAGTTCGAATTATATTAAGGAGGTTACGTAGAGCGCCATCTGCCCACGAATAGATCAGGCAATAACGATATATCAAGGAGGTTACGTACAGCGCCATCTGCCCGCAAATAGATCAAGCAATAATGTCGATAATTCTGTTAAATACAGATGCCGAGTTTGAGAGTTACAAACAAACAAACAAACATACATACATTCATACAGGTGAAGCTAATAAAAGCGTGTTAAAAAAAAGGCCATTACATCAAAGAAAAAGTACGCTTTCAAATTTTTCATACAGGGTGTTCCCTATTATTTGCAGGAAATGCTTTGTTTTCATGAAACAAATTGTTAATATTTTCTAAAAAAAATGTTTTCATTCCTTATGAAAATATCCCTCCTTTATGTTATTTTGGTTGGCTATGCTATTTTCAGTGATAACAGGTTCATTGATCCTTAACTATATACACATATTTGAGTCAGTTGACGGCTCAGGACACAGGTCTTCCAACATTACTGACCAAAGAATATTCGCCACTGACTTGCTTGTAATATTTCATTTTGAGTGAAACATCTGAAGATGAAATTCATTAATCCCTTTATTTGTTTTCATAGCTCGCTCTGTTTCATGGAAAAAACAATAAATTAAAACAATAAAAAGCAGATAAAAAACAACTACTAGTGTACTATGCATTAAACCGGCAACATCTTATGTTTCCCGTTTGTCAAATTACATTTATCATTGTAACAATGTATAACATTTTTAATTAAATAATGACACACACTAACACTAATCACGAAATAACTGGCATGCATCTTGGATATGGACTGATCGAAAGTAATGCTTCTAGAGCTCAACGTATTCACAGAGACAAATATCCTAATCGTTTAGTGCCTGATGTAACAACTTTGTTGAAAAATATTATTCGTTAAAGATGTTCATGCTGCTAAAACACCTACCATGAGCAAAACTTCATGAAGTGGGGCATCAACCATAAATTAGTACCAGGTCTTGCTTCAAATCTTCAGTGCAGCTATAAATTAGTTTGGGTGATTTCAAGAGAAGTTACTAATGGAATTCATTTTGATTTTTACTATAAAACCGCAACACGTGTTTTGCTATACAGAAAAATTATTGAAATAGCTTGAAAATAATTTTATTTTATGAAGACTCACAATGCATATTCGTTTTCCAGAAGCTATCAACGTCTAACTCTAAGAGTTAGACGTTAATTGCGTTTACTTTGAGAACGACAAAATTCATGATTCAATATTACTACTTTCATTCCGAATAATTTTTCAAAGAAATGATTCGATCAACAAACTCACCGTAAATTACGGTAACAAGTTATTTCTGTTTCTGATTCACAAATTGGAAAACCAAATGTATCACAAAGACATTAAAATTCAAAATAACTTTCCATTCACAAAAGTGTACCGGTTGTTCACGTGTATTTTACACAATGTTCTGTGATCGGTTTCGACTTTCTCTATATTCAATAAAAGCCAAGTAAACATGAAGTGATAAAATGTCTAGAACGAGGATAATTTAACGCGGTGTCTCCATATTATCTAATATCTTATTACACGAAATCATTGTTGAAAGCTTACGAAGCAATTACAGTAATGTAACTGATTAGAAGCACGGCAAATTATCAATTCGATGGTTAATACCGAAGGAGCATAATATAAATTGTTTTATGAGAGATTGAATTTCAACTCAACTGAATTTCTGAACAGAAACAGATTTATTGAATAGAATGCATAAAAACAACTTGTGGTCTGCTTGATACAACTTTTACAAAGTGGAGAAATGTAATCAATTATGTATTTTAATAATTTTATTTTACTTCTTCACTTCAGATTTCTCCTCATCTCTAAATTTTGTTGGATGGTAATAGGAATTGATCTGAGCTCAACTTTTTTCCTGTAATTAGAGCAATAATGATCAAAACTCTTCTTGATTTCATTGGTGAATAATTTTGTGAGGTCTTTCTTCAAGAGGATAACGTCTAATATTTTCACAGTGTTTTAAATTTTTTAATGGTACTCCAATTCTTCTATGCATTCAATACTGTTACCTTTGTCTGCCTTTGTGAAAATCAGTTGGTCGTTGTTCCTCTTCTTTTTGATATAATCCACTATTTCATTAACTTCGCTGGAATTTGATGATGGTACATTTTTAAAAATGATGTCAGCTTAACTTAACTCTCTCTGGAAGTTACTTTTCAACAGTGGAATATTCAATAGTCTGTGGAGCCATACTATTGAATGCTACTACTTTATTTTGATAAAGGTGTGTGGGGGAATTATGTATAACAATGTTTGTATAAGATAGTTTGTGGAAAATTTCAAAATTATGTTAAGGTATTTCTTATTTTCGTGATAGGTATTTAATTGAATTATTCACTTTCCTTTCAGTGGTGAATTTTATTGACATTGTGAATGGAGTTGACTTATTCGACAAACTCACTTGATAGCCTGTAGGTACCAGTAAAACAGACTAAGATATCATCTACGTATCTATATCAGTACAAGAAATTGTTGATTAACTGATTATTATGGATTTCATTCTCTAGGTTACGCATGAAAATTTCAGCCAGCAAATAATATTGAGATAGGCAAATTCTAGGTAGAACTAAAATTTCCTGTTTTATTAGTGAATTTACATGGCTTTTGTCTAAGAGACGGTCAGCCAGCTCAATTGTTTCAATTGGCGGAATACTGGAAAATAAATTATGGACATCAAACTATATTGATTTAGCGTTATCAGGAAGAATTGCCTTTTTTGATATTATTCATAAATTGATAAATATTATTCATACTAAACTGCAAATTGAAACTAGTATAGGTTAAAAAAAAATTGTTGAAAATATAGTTTGATCGACTCATGACATCAAAAGTGATATATACTTACTTACGAGGAAAATATATTGAAAATCATCACAGTACACAGAATTAGCAATTGGTGAAATGTTTCTAGAAACTGAAGTAGAGAAGAAGAAAAAATATGTAAATGTTTTTCCAATTTGAAATTACCCATTGGTGCCTTTCCATGTCTTTTCTAATTGTTTTTAGTTTTTCTGATTTTGTTTTTTAATTCGAAGACTGTATTTTTCATGTTACTACATAAAAAAAATTTGTCACAGCTGTTGTAGGTTTCAAATGTCCAACGAAAGTGCCAAACGGTAGCCCCGCTGCCAGATTCTGGCCGTACCCACGATTCGCCGTACCTGGAGATTGTCACCGCCTCATCACTTGTGTTAATGGATATCCTCGACTCATCAATTGCGGTGAAGGAAAAGTACTGGATGAGGCAACACTGACTTGTGAAGACCCAGAATTGGTTCCCCACTGTGCCAATAGAATCAGAAAATAAAAAAGTCATTTTATAGTCGAGTCTGATAAGAATGTACAATGAAACAGTATGGTTTTTCAAAATTGTTTAAACTTTTTTTTTAATTTTCTAACAATGATGATGTGACGTTTACCTACTTGTATTCAGCATAAATATACTAATTCAGTAATATTTATATATAGATATGACTAATCTCAAAACTAATACGTCATTAAGTGATAGTATACAAATTTATTCATGTAAAAGAAATAATAATGCTTGAGAAAACAACAGCTATTTCCATTTCAAGTTCCATTCTGAAAAATAATCAATCGTATTTTGAATTTTAATGTACAATATGGAGTTTCGGATGATAAAGAAGTAAACTGCCAGTGGCAGAGAGTCGATGGAAAATTAAATATTGAAACTAAGTTATGAGTAAATGACTGTTTTTTATTTAAATAATTACCCGCTGGAATAATGAAACAGTAATATATTGAGTATGCTGAGATTGATGTATGCTGAGATTGCTGTATACTGTTTTCCAACTGAGAATACAATTCAGCTTTCACGTAGACTATATAAGTATAAGTTAGTGTATAAAATGTGCCAAACATTGTCTCGTCATCACTACACACATAAGATTGTATACATATGTTAAGGTAGATGTAGATTTTAAATTAGAAAATAGAAAACCATTTCAATAAATTTCTCTATTTAAAAAAAATCCTTATGATATCAATTCAGGTAATTGTCTTCAATCTAGCACGATACCTGAAAAACACTTTATATTAGGGGTACTGACATAATCCTGGTGTCGGGGTTCTGAGGTATTTTAAAATCAATATCTATAGTAATGAAACAGGCACTAATTTACTATATATATCATAGATGATTAGAAAGAAGTAGGTAAATAATCTTATGTTATTATTATAATCATATGATTAGTTGGAATACTTTATACTTTGTGGGAATATTATTGAGCATTATTCCATTCGTAGATCAAAATAAATAAATAGGGATGTGTCACTGGTAATTGTTTATTTGTATGTTAAAAAATTACAATTTTCATGTTCTGAAAGTAGAGAATTGACATATAATGAGACCAAAAACAAGTTTTTGATGTTACGAAAGGAAAGCCGTAATTTCAAAAAATATTGATTGCCAATTATCTATTTTCCAGTGCTGAAAATATCAAAAGTAAAACGTTGTATAACCTTTCTTGATAGTTCCACGTTTGAAAAAGAATTATTTCATTTCATTTTGTAATCAGTAATCACAAATATGAATCACATACGAAATAATTTTTGTTCAAAATAAAAATCAATTACCTGAATTAATAATTATATATGTTTGTAAATACTCCACAAAATATCCTTGATGGGTTCAAAATGTGTTTTTTCTATATTTTCAGTTATCTTCTATCGAATTCAAATAATCATAACCATGGATACGGTAAAGATGCATAGAATATCCCTGGTATGATCAATTCTACCCCTTCCCCATGTAGAATATTTTGTCGAAAACTCTCGACCTACGGCATTCTTGATAAAAATTAATAAAGAGATTTAATAAATTTCACTATTTCTTTACAGAGGTGCTACGAACAACAAGTGACGTAGCTTGACAATGTCAGGAAATAGATGATTTTTTTTTACATTATGGTTCATGAATTAAAGATCGCAAGGAAATATCCGCGACAGATTACGATACTTGCACCATCTATCAACATTTGTACAAAGTTGGGTCAATCTCATTTCGCATGTCAAGCAAAACAAAAGCGAAACGGGTAATAAACTAGGGTTTCTATGCATCTTTGTTACGGTCCCAGTTTTAGGACTTAATCTAACAGCTTTCACTGTGACCGACTTTAAACGTAATCATTACCAATTTTGATCAATCTATCTCAAGAATATTCTTCAGTGTGTTTGAAGAAAAAATGATATTTTTCATTTGGAGAAATAGAACTTTTATAGTTGATGGCTTCCCTTACGGATCGTTCGTCCACACTCGCCAAACTTAACATTACTTCTTCTCCAAATAAAATTATATACTATTGTTACCTTCTCGAGCTGAGGAGAGCCAATTTCACACAAATACTTCTCAATCGTTAGTCACAAATACGAAACAGATTTCTTCAACACAAAAGTTCATAAAGGAAGACTCAGGAATGAATATACAAACTTACATTATGAAAAACCTTCTCCTATCATACTAGAATTAATTTTTTGTAACTTATAATCTTCTATAAATTTACAGAGAGCTGCACTTGACTATTCTTTTACTTCCTTCATCTTGCACATCAAATTTGGATTTTGTTTTCTACGAAAGTAAAAACAGAAATCTATTGTATCTACTTCATAAATTTCACTAAGGAATGAAAAATGTACAGACAGACAATTTATCAGACTTGACTGACAATCCACTCCAAACAGATCTGATTTAATTTAATAACATCTAGAAATGTTCTTTTTAAAGTCACATCATCAGGCTAGTTTTTCACAATTAGAATTTTTGTACACACTGCATATAGATTTATTTCTTTTAATTCTATTAGTCTTTCGAAAGTAAACGAAACTTTTTGAATTTCATAAATATTTCTCGACTGGGTGAAATAACATGACAGAAATAATAAAATAATTATAATTCAGAAGTAATTTGTTTTTTATTGAAATTCGTGAAGATGACTAATCTCAAAACTAATACGTCATTAAGTGATAGTATACAAATTTATTCATGTAAAAGAAATAATAATGCTTGAGAAAACAACAGGTATTTCCATTTCAAGTTCCATTCTGAAAAATAATCAATCGTATTTTGAATTTTAATGTACAATATGGAGTTTCGGATGATAAAGAAGTAAACTGCCAGTGGCAGAGAGTCGATGGAAAATTAAATATTGAAACTAAGTTATGAGTAAATGACTGTTTTTTATTTAAATAATTACCCGCTGGAATAATGAAACAGTAATATATTGAGTATGCTGAGATTGATGTATGCTGAGATTGCTGTATACTATTTTCCAACTGAGAATACAATTCAGCTTTCACGTAGACTATATAAGTAGAAGTTAGTGTATAAAATGTGCCAAACATTGTCTCGTCATCACTACACACATAAGATTGTATACATATGTTAAGGTAGATGTAGATTTTAAATTAGAAAATAGAAAACCATTTCAATAAATTTCTCTATTTAAAAAAAATCCTTATGATATCAATTCAGGTAATTGTCTTCAATCTAGCACGATACCTGAAAAACACTTTAAATTAGGGGTACTGATATAATCCTGGTGTCGGGGTACTTTCCGTAAATCCACTATATCTGAGGTATTTTAAAATCAATATCTATAGTAATGAAACAGGCACTAATTTACTATATATATCATAGATGATTAGAAAGAAGTAGGTAAATAATCTTATGTTATTATTATAATCATATGATTAGTTGGAATACTTTATACTATGTGGGAATATTATTGAGCATTATTCCATTCGTAGATCAAAATAAATAAATAGGGATGTGTCACTGGTAATTGTTTATTTGTATATTGAAAAATTACAATTTTCATGTTCTGAAAGTAGAGAATTGACATATAATGAGACCAAAAACAAGTTTTTGATGTTACGAAAGGAAAGCCGTAAGATCAAAAAATATTGATTGCCAATTATCTATTTTCCAGTGCTGAAAATATCAAAAGTAAAACGTTGTACAACCTTTCTTGATAGTTCCACGTTTGAAAAAGAATTATTTCATTTCATTTTGTAATCAGTAATCACAAATATGAATCACATACGAAATAATTTTTGTTCAAAATAAAAATCAATTACCTGAATTAATAATTATATATGTTTGTCATCATATTTATATTTGAAAGAATGGAAAATTATTCGCGAAACAATCCTGCTCATTTCATAGCTACATTTTGCTATCTGATCAAAAAAATTGATGACGGTGGAAAACTAAAAATAGTCATAATTTATTTTTCAGTTTTCCTTATATTATGAAAAACCAGATATTGTTTTTGATAACTTTTAAATTTTCAGATTTTATTCGAGTTATGTATAGAAAAATAAATATTTTAATTAAAATGTTTATCATTTCTGAAATATGCATTCCTAATTGAACTTATCATCTGAACGCCAATAGTTTAAAACTG